CGATTCACAAATATTTCACATATTTTATTTCAGGAACAATGTGGCAGCATGTCGTCTGCAGGGAATGGACTATTGAATTGGCAAGGAAATGTTCCTTTTTACAGCTTTCCCCTGATTTACATATTGAAACAGAAAGTGTACATTGGTGAAGTGACTCAGGAAACTTTTTTCATTTTCACTTTTGTATAGCTATTTATAAATGAAGTAACAGTTCAAATAGATAGGCCTGTAGTACACTGACTCAGCTTTGCTATTATGCAGTATTTAAAATGGCAGTCAATTAATTTTTAAAATCAGCTTTATTTCTTGTCACTATTACCAGTCCACACAGGTATCCAGTTTTGTCATGTAGTATCTTTGACTTGGGAATTATGCACCCTTATTAAAACAGATGATTTGTGCTTCAAGCAGGAATCATATATGTTGGTGAATGGTTGTGGGGTCAGAGGCAAGGTTTGCCAATTAAAGGGCCAGATTCTGGTATCCATTACAACAATGTAACTTCACTGATTTAATCTGAGTCTGGATTTATATGAGTGTTAGTGAGATCAGAATCTACCCCAAAATGTGGGTATAAAATAGTACTGCTTCTGCACATTAATGTGTGCCCACTTAAGTGCATTTGCTTTTATGTTGGGTAGGAAGCTACAACAATAGGCCTTTTGCAATGTGATCAGTGCAGCAATGATTAGATACCACAGCGATAAATGCTATGTACAAAACCTAAGAGAGATAGATAAGTAGAAGCTAGTTTATTTTTTCCCAAAAGAAATTAAAATAATGTCCTAGATATCAGCAACTATTTCACAATCACAGACACGTTTCATGGTTTTATTTTGTTTTTCTGAACATAAGGATTTATCACCAATAACAGGAAAGTGTTGGATAGCTTTCCAATGATTCTTTGACAAAACACTCACACAAAAAAAGCCTCATGATTGAATTAAAGCTGTGTTTGCATAACAAATGTACCCACATTCTGTCACCTTATCTGATTAATAAGTATACCACTCGGCTTTTGAACTAGATTAGCAATCCCCTTTTAACTAAATACTGATTCACTTTGCTATCTACTCAAAAAATAAACTCCATGGAAAAAGCAAACTGAATTTAAGAAATCTTCCTTCTGTCTGCATTACATTAATCATTGATCGTTTCTTGGCAAATCAGTAAATAAACCACAGGAAAGGTAAAATTGCTCAAAAAATCAATATAGGCAAGTTAAATTGGACACATAGTAGAGCAAATAGATCTCCAAAAATGTGAATAATCCATTCTCTAAGAGAACATTCAATTTATAAATGGATTAACTCTGCTGGGGCATAAATAACACAAAGAAAGTGTAATTTTAGTGAGGTAATAAAACACCATACATCCTTTATGCTAAGAACACATCTCATTTTCAGGTTTGGAGCCAACAGAAAGCCAGGAATAAATAATTTCCAGGTTTATGCAAAGTGAAAGCTCAGAAGGAGAGTATAGGAAGTGAAGATACAATAGATTAGATCCAGATCCTCAACCATATTTAGGCACCTAATTCCCATTCGGCCAGATCATGACCACATAAACAGTTGCAAAGAACAGGAAGAATGTATATTTCATGAGGTGTAAAACCTGCAGCTCCTGTTGAGTAGTAAACTAGGTGCTAGTTGGGAATGAAAAATGGCAACATTTAAAAATTAAACAGATACCTGACAATCATTATACAGATGGGCCAGTTATTCTCTCCATACACTTTAACTCTATAGACCTAATAATATCTCTGTTGTGTAATACAAGCAACTCACCATAAATTTAGTTCCCAAATATTCTGTGCTAGTTCTTGTAATATCATGTGCAGACCCCAACTTGCCAATTATCTATGACAGTCAAACTCTTAGCAGTGGATGGTTCCTTAGTAAGAGTAGCAGAGGATAGTTACTTCCTTAAGAATTATTGCATTACCCTCAAAACCATTTTCAAGCTATATATTTTGAAAATAATACCTTTACCCCCCAAGGGGTGCTAGTAGTTATCATCACCAATCTAGACTCAACATTTTTTCTGAACCCTGAAACTTCTGCACAGAAGTTGGGGGCCTCAAGCCTGGATAAAATCCATTGTGTGGAGGAGACAAAGTACAGAATATATCTATAGTTTGTTATATGGGTCAGGAGCCTTCTCCTGTCATCAAGTCCATTTGTGAGTGTACAGTTATGACTCAGGTTAGTCCAGTGACTTTTCATAGGTGTTTTCAATTTACACTGCCTAGGCATTGAACCATTCTGTTCATAGTCTAATGGAAACATTGCAATCTGTGTTGTCTGCATGCATTGAAACAGTGCTTTCTAGATGCCTCTGGACCCTGCATCAGTCTCATTCCAGGAGGTCACCATGACTTACAAATGATGTGCATCTGATGAAGCAACAAGGGAGAATGTTGGAGCACCAGCAGCAGGAGACTCACTGCAAGACAAATGGAATGTATTATAGGCAAAGATTCACATTTGTATACCATAGCTGTTGTCTGCTTGACCATTTCTGTGTGAACAGTGCTGGTGAGGTGGTGGGGGAAATACACAAGTACTGCTTGGCTTTTACCCATTTTTATTTACACAAGCTTAAGTGTCCAGAGAACAGAACAAATTAACTATGAGATGGAGCCATATCCTTCATAATTTATTAAAGCCAGCAGAGTCCATTATTGATGAAGATGGCTAATGCCATTCTTTGGAAGGGAGAGCTGCCAGCACTTGGCTGGCATTTTCAAACAAGCCCAAAGGAGTTAGGTACCCAACTCTAATTGAATTTCAGTGCAACCCCCAGAAAGATGATCCCCCCATCTATGTACACAACTTTTATACCATCTTGTTGATGTCCCTCTCAGCTTGATTGATGGTATCTATATATATATTCTCTGCCAATTTTGTATATGGTAGGATCCAGGCTGGGCCAGACAAATATAAAATATGTCATCAATACATAAAACTTTATCAGGATACAAATAAGATTTGATATTTACCCGCCCACAGTTATATTAGATAGGATAAAAATATAGCAGCTATAAACCCTCATGTTTTTGGTGCATATTAGCAATGATGTCTAGCATAACTTGTCTATAGATCTCAAAGCATGTCTCAAAGAAGGTAAGTGTAATTATCCCCATTTTACTGAGGTGCAGAGAGGTGAAGTGAGTTGCCCAAGGTCACATAGTAGACCAGTAGCAGAGCTAGATATAGAACCCAGGACTCCTAAGTGCCAGCTGAATGGGCCACATTGCCTCTCACCAACTAGTCAATTATTAATTGCACCTAGAGGCCCCAGAATGCTAAGCATTATACCTTCTAACATAAGATTTACAATCCTAATAGAAGAGATAAGCAAAGAATGTGAGATAGCTATATTATTATCCCTATTTTACAGACGGAAAACTGAGGCACAGAGCGGTAAAATGACTTGTCGCTGGTTATACAGGAAGGGGTAGATCAACAAAGGACTTAGGAACCTTCCTGCCCTGTTAGGTGCCTAGGTCTAACATTTAAGCAACATCAAGAGCTTCAAAATCCCTGCTCAGATGCCACCCACATCCTGGAAGTGCCTAAACTCTGTGGGTACCTAAATTTCCACCAGTAAAGACCCCATGGGCATCTAAGTTTCTGCTGGTGGGTTTGTGCAAAACCACCTAAACCCTGAGGCCCCCAAGCCACTCCATGCTTTAGCTCACACCTAAGCCCTGGCAAGAGTCTTAAATTAGACGTTCCCTGCCTGTCTCATCTGTGGGGCCCAAACAGGCCTCACACAAAAGACAGCTGAGGGCTGTCTGACTGCGAATTTTTGGGGCTGCCAGGTGTGAGTGTGTGTCCCAGACTACCCAATAGCTAGGGCACTCACCTGGGATGTGGGAGACCAAGATCATGTCCTTACTCCTATGAATATTGAAAACAGGTCTCCTAGGCAAGTGCCTGAACCAGTCAGCTATTGGCCATTGAGAGGTTCATTCTTTCTGTGGTTTTTCATGAGAAAGGGCTGACCTGGCTTTGATGCCTAGTTCCAGGAGAGGGCACAAGCCTGTGAATCCCAAGCAGAGGTAGGCAATTCCCTTTGGCTCAGAGTTAAGCACTAACTACCTTTGGCTGGCATTGCCCACTGGTTAGCTTAGGTGGCACCCTGCTAAATTGCTGTCTTTTGAGGATTCCTTCTGTAAGCACCAATCTTTCCCCAACCATTGTATAGGGATCCTAGATACCTAGCCTGGGGCTGTGAATTCCACTAGGGGGGCAGGGCACCTAAAAAGGAGGCCCCGCAGTGCTGAGGATTGGAACACCTAAGTGCTTTGCGGACCTAGCCTGAAATCTGTAGCAGAGCTGGGAATGGAGCCTAGAGTCCTTGTTCAATATCTGAACCACAAGACTGTCCTTTCTCTAGCCCTATTGGGCAAGGCACTGTACGAACATAACATAGAAGACAGTCCTTGCCTCTAAGAGTGTACAATCTTGCTTACAGAAGGAATGCTCTTTTCAAAGCATGGTGGTGACTAGAAAGGAAAACACTTTGATCCTACAACTGACACACACAATTCCCCAGAATGGAATCTGTGGATTGTAAGAACGTAACTGCTTGAAAAATAGCAGCCTGTCCTTATTGAATAACCTGTGCCTCTTACATTTAGGCCCTGAGAGTAACTGGGGCTTCTCCTTGAACTAAACAACCGGGGCTCATCTCAGGCACCATTCCAACATTGTCCAGAATCATATGTTAGTTTTATTACTCCAGTGTTACTGGAAGCGATTGCTCCATGCCTCCCCTTAGCTTTCTCCAGATCCTAACACTGCCCTGGCTGCAAAGGACATAGTGTGGGCAAGTGGGAGACTGCTGCTAAAAATGGGAGGAGCAGGAGCTTCAGTGCAAATTCTGGGAATCCAGGACAAAGGCACTGAGAAGTTGTTCCTCCACCACTGTCCCACCCCTACACATTGCATCACGGTGCCCGCCCCCAGGTTCAGCCAGCTCCCTTAAACTGCTGCTGTGAAGTGCAGGGGAGTCAGGGCAGATTCCAGCAGCCCGTACAGCTGAATCTCTCAGTCATTGACTCTGCACACATACTAGCTGGAAGCACACTTGGGTATAGACACCATGGTGCCGAAGTTACACAGATGGGCTACTGCGCATCTTCTGTCCTTACTCTTTTCAGCTTGCATGGCAGTAAGTGAAACTGTACAAATGGACCAGTAAAAAATTACAATGCCCCAAAAATACCATAAGGAGAACAATAACTAAAAAATAATGTTGTTTTCCCCCTTTCAGTATATTGCTACCAGAGAAAACTGCTGCATCTTAGATGAACGATTTGTAAGTAGATGTGTGATTCCTTTCTTCTAAATTAAGGAACTGAATAAAATATTGTTCCACTTATAATTAACATTCATTATTATTTTGTTTTATCATGCTTTGTTATTTTCAATATCTACTATTATTAAAAGTAATATTATGCTTTACGGTTCACTCTTAATAACAGCATTCATTGTTCTAAAATGTACTGTAAATTCCATTAATAATACCATGTATTATTCTAAAGTATACTATTATCAATAACATATGTTGTTATTTTTAATATTTAATAACAATATGCATTATCAGGACTGTCTCTACAGATTCTGATACTGCAAGCACAGTAGCAAATGCCCAGTCCTACGTGTCCACAGTTACCTACATAAATTCTTATTGAATGTTGGGCTGCCCTTAATATTTTCCTGCCCTGAGTGACCATCTCTTTTGCCTCACTGTAGAAACTGGACTGGTCCTTTATTATTTTATTATTATTATGTTTAATTATTCTTTTCCCTTTAGGGTAGCTATTGCCCAACTACATGCGGCATTGCAGACTTCTTAACTAAATACCACCCTGGTGTGGATAAGGAGCTGCAGGTCCTTGAAAATCTCTTGCAACAGATCACTAACTCTTCCACTGTAACAGAACAGTTGATCCGCCAAATCCAAATCCACAGCCTCCCAGAGAAACTGAGTCTGCCAGGTGAGAACAGAAAGACAATTACAAAACCGAGAAAAATATGAAAAATTTAGTTTTCTTACTTTTACATGTAATTGCATTAATATATTGTTCCTGTTCTACAGATGTGATCAACGGTTTTACTCAAAAAAACAGGAAAATAATTGATGAAATTATCAGATATGAAAACACTATTGTGGAACATGAAAATATTATACAGTAGGTATTTTCCAATTTGATATTGTTTAACTATGCAGATCTGTTCCTTTATTTTATTTTACCAGCTGCAATTGAAGTTTTTTCACAGCACTTCATTTCTGCATATAAAGACCAGTTTGGTGTCTTTTCACTCATAACTGCATAATTAGGATGTGACCCTGCATTTATTGAATACCTACATCTCCCACTGGAATACAAGACCAGGCTGTAAGAACATGGGAAAGTTTGGCTGTTCTTTTTTTTCTTTTTCAATCAGTATTTTTGTTTAAGTAATTGTTCAAAATTTTTCCATTTATTATTCTTAGACTTCAGAGATTTTAGTAATATGAAACTGTAACATGGATCTTACCAAAGATTTGTTTAGCCAGTTGGTACTTTTTTATTGGTTTTGCTGAACATGCATCATGAACCAAATTCTGCTCTCTGTTTCATTGGAGTGAATCCAGAATAACTATTAAATTCAAAGGTGTTCATCTTAAGTCTATACTGTTCTATATATTTGAAAACATATTTAACTTATCTAAATTATAATAATGAATTATTATTTATAAATTGTAATTGTACTATTTAACTTTAAATGCCAAAGTCACTCCTGTGATAACATTATGCCAGGAATCACTGAGAATTGGTTAATATACAGTAAGTCTGAGTTTTTGACATTTAGAATTAATGTAACTATATTTTATCTTAAATGCCTTTGCATCACCTGGTCTGAGAGCATTTTTTATTTAACCACCCACTGATTACAGTTTTTAATTTTCATATTAGATTTAGGTTTATATTGTTTTTAATTAATACACTCTATATAATATTAGAATGAATTGCTCTCAAATGTGTTTACTCTTTTTAAAACAGAAATATGCAATAGTTAATTTTCATAATATGTAGGGCCATGGATGCAGACTCCTGTTATTTTTTCATGTTATTTCAAGTTCCCATAATTTTATGAACTCCCAGTTTTATGAAGGTTTCAAGAGTCCTCCAAACCTTCAAAAAAATCAGGTTTCTATTGTACTTTCTTGTACCTTACTATATACTTTACCTCCAGAACTCAGACCTGCAATTCTCACAAAATAAAAATTCCCATAGAGCTTTGTCCATGCACTGACTGCAAGAATGGGCTTTACTGGGTAAAGAGATACTGGTCCAAGTAAAACATGTCCAAGTTAAGCATGTGCTTCAGTGATTTCCTGAATCAGGCAATGGGCCTGCTCAAAATTGAGCATGCATGTAAGCACTTTGTTGGATTAGGGCTAGAGTGCGCAGTACGTTGGAGAATTGACAAGGCAAAAGACATTCAAACAACAGGGAGGTAGTGAAGGGATAAGATCTGGAATGGTCACGTAAATACAGTTTCAGTTCTGGATACATGTAATAAACATTAAATCAAAGCCAAAATTCTAGAAAACGTGTATATACATGGAAGCCCTAATAGGTATTTACAAAGGGCTGGAATGTGGCTGGCCCTTATGCAACAGCATAGTGAAAATGAGAGCACAGAGGGAGACTACCCGCCTTGTACAGCCTTCTTATGCGCTACCCAGAACAGTAGTATTTGCTCTCAGGAGAGTGCAAAAACTGCTACCAAGTTGCTCCCACTCAAAAGCAACTTGCAATAAAGGGGGCAGATAGAGAAGAGGAGTAGGCAGAATCTTGGCTCCACTTTCTTGTGCACCAGCCAGGCTCTGATTGTAGCAAATTATTGTCCTCCCAGTGCAAATGGTTAGCTGTGTAAGGCAGAATGCCCAAATGCTTGTATGGGGATGGGGCAGCTCTGCACTGCCCCACAGTGTAGGGCTGTAGCTAAATACCACACTGTAGCCCAAAATGATTTACATTGTCTCATTAAATAAAGCAACATATTTTAGATTAGTACATTAGATATGTAAGGCATATTTCAGGGAAATATGTATTGTTCTCATTAAGAAAAACTGGCATAACGTGTAATTTTTATGTTTTTATCTCTAGGCAACTGACAGATGTGTTGATGTTAAACACTAAGAAGATTTCACAACTAAAACAGATGACTAATCAGCTTGCGTCACAATGTCAGGAGCCATGCAGAGACACAGTCCAAATACTGGAAACAACTGGAAGAGGTACATGAAATGCTTATTGTGTGGCTTAAATTAATTCTTAAGTGTTATCTGTCGACAATATAGTGGTGAGGGCCATCTGAGTACTTAAATGGGTGATCCTGCAAAACTTCCTTACAGGAGTTATTCTTAATCACATGATCCATTAATTTCTCTAAGAATTACCCATGGCAATAAGGGACTCAGCATCATGACCAATGTAAATAATGCTTTTCCATGTTTACATTGTATTACTGCTATTTTTATGTTTGTTTGTTGTTGGCTAGTGTGTCATTCAACAGAAATACTAGACAGGTGTTCTGCATCTAGGATGTTGTGGAACAAATCTTATTTTCGCATTTGGGCATGATTAGCCAAGATTTGACTATCCCAGTAAACCCTCTCTTTATTGTAGTCCATAGACCAGGCAAGTGCTTTTATGGAGTTATAAGAACAGAGAGGATACTATATTATAATATTTCCGCTCAGCCACACAGAAATAATTAATCTAATACATTAGACCTAAAAATGCCCTTTTTATGACTGCAGAAACAAATAAAATTATTGTATTTTACATTCAAGTTATGCTACCTAAATATTTACTAATAGTAAAATCTTACTCATCCTTATACAAGTCCCGTTAACTTCAATAGGACTTCCTGTGTGATGAAGACCTAGCCTACAGAGATAACTTTGCCATAGTAATTATTATATGTACTGTGTATGTTGCACTGTACTAGAAAATGATCAGATACTTTTAAAACCACCTTTAAAACAAGATGAGACTTTAGCCAAAATACTAACAATGGTGTTTGTTTATTGCAGATTGTCAAGACATTGCAAATAAAGGTGCCAGACACAGTGGTCTTTACTTCATCAAACCTCTAAAAGCTAAGCAGCAGTTTCTAGTCTATTGTGAGATTGACACATTTGGCAATGGATGGACAGTGTTCCAGAGAGTATGTAATCTGTAAATTCAGGTCATGAATAATTCTGATTATATAACAGAATTTCATTTACATGGGCACATGCTGCTTTGGTTGACTTTCTTTCTTTCTTAATCTGCTACCAGAGACTTGATGGGAGCGTGGACTTCAAGAAAAACTGGGCTCAGTACAAAGAAGGATTTGGACACCTGTCACCAGATGACCAGTCAGAGTACTGGCTGGGAAATGAAAAGATTCATTTAATAACCACTCAGTCTACTATTCCATATGCCTTAAGGATAGAACTGGAAGACTGGGAGAATAAAAAAAGGTATTTCACTAATGAGCCTTCTAAAAAAGTCAATTTAAAATACACACCTGTCATGTGTACTGATTTTTTTGGTACAGCCACAGATATCTGTCTCTACCACCAGATATCAGATACCTGTCTCCACTGCCAGATCAGTTTGTACAACTTTCAGAAGAATGGATAATGCAGTGTCATTAGCCTATTTGTATCAAACTACCTTCTCTATCAGTTTATAAAACCATAAATATATTTGCAGTTGAATTTTCTCTCACTACCTGCAACTTTGTGATCAAAAAGGAAGCAACATATGCTCATGAAAGCTCCATGTTGGCATCTTCCTTGGAAAATATAATTTACTCTGTAGAATGTGTCTGTTTCTTCCTTACACAGTTTCTTCACAACCCATGTGTAGCATTTAAGATGTTCTACTTTCCCCCCTGGGTTAGCCTGCCATGACACCCTTGACATCCCATTTGATAACTCATCATTCTAACTGCTGGAAATTAGATGAGGTTCCATTCAGAACCTGTTGTTGTCATACTTCGCTATTCCATAGAAAGAGACGGGTGTTGAGTGGTGCAAGCCATTTTCTCCTTCCAGGAGCAATTTGCTCTCACCATCCCCATTTCATTCCAGCATGGACAATGAGAGACTGTGATTATTTATCCAACTCAGATCTCCTGAAAGCCATCGCAAAGCACTACTCTAAGACCACTGAGATGACCCAGTTTACCTATCTTTGACTACCTAAAGTTGGGGGGGTATAGAAGGGTTCATAATGATTCATTAAAGTGACATATTATAATCTGGCAAGGAAATATCTAATTAGATATTAGATATGTCTTCTAATTAGACATAGAGTGACACAGGAACTGACTCTAAAATGCTGTCATTTATAGTCTAATTGTGTATGTTTTGGGAATCCAGTGTACACAAATTCACCATTATTTTTTTAACAGTACTGCAGACTATGCTGTGTTCAAAGTGGGACCTGAAGCAGACAAGTACCGACTGACCTATGCCTATTTTGTTGCTGGTGGTGAAGCAGGGGATGCCCTTGATGGTTTTGATTTTGGAGATGATCCCAGTGACAAATTTTTTACATCCCATAATGGCATGCAGTTCAGTACCTATGATCGTGACAATGATAAATTTGATGGCAATTGTGCTGAACAGGATGGAGCAGGATGGTGGATGAATAGATGTCATGCTGGTAACCTCAATGGCAAATATTATCAAGGTAATACATGCTTTGGGTACCTACTTCATATAAAAAATAACTTCATGGCTTTACAACAAATTCTAGCGATGGAGAAAAACATTGTGTAGATTTTAGCTGTTTATTTATTTTTGGCCATCCCATTCCTTACACTTCATAGCTGATCCTTGCTGCTGAGCAACACAAATTGATACTCTCCCAGCCCTTATATGTTACTCCAGGTAGCTTCTGCTGAGCCTGGGGGGAAGCACTGTATGCAAGAGCTAAAGCACAGGTGCTGTCTTCCACTGCTGCTAGAGGCAAAGACAAGAAGTTTCTCCCTTTTGCTTTGCGGTTACAAAAGTATTGTCTCCAGCAACAGAGTCCCAATCATAATCCCGTTGCCGGAGGACAGGCAAAAAAACCCAAGGCAAGGCGGAAAGATAAGGAAAAAAGGGTGAGAGATAGGGAATTCAGGAGAGAAACAGACTTGATAGGACAGAAGTTTGTACAAAGGGAGAAGAGGAGAGGGAATCTGCAATCGCAGTGTGTTTGGGATATATACATGATGATATGATATAGTAGAAAGAGTTTATCAGTATAAGTTTAGGATGGCTACATTACTCATAAATCATGTAGCCATGAAGGAGTTATGGAGATCATGTTCATCAAGTACCAATAAAACCTTTATTCCACACCATACCGTCATGGATTCATGGTTGATCTTGAGATTTCAGACCTTAAACCTGTCACTCATGCAGGACTGAATATTGGCTGTCTGTACCTAAGACCAGTGTAATTTGAGGGGAAATCTACATTTGGAGAGGAGAAGGAAACATTCTTCTGGCGGGCTGATATTTTTTTACAGTGACAGCAGTTCGAAGCTGCTCAGAGATTTGGAATGTTAGAATAAATCCTGGAGGAGATAGATTAGTAGGTAGAGGCAGTCAATGGTGCACGATAAGTATAGTTTTGTACAGGGATTTCATTACTACAGACATGCATGTGCATATAAATTATTTTACAAACAATTATATATTCTGCTACAATTTATATTTTAGGTGGCACTTACTCAGCAAGAGAGGTTGGTCCAGCTGGATACGACAATGGGATTATCTGGGCAACCTGGCGTTCTCGGTGGTATTCCATGAAGAAAACTACGATGAAAGTCATCCCATTCAACAGACTTTCAATAGGAGATGGACAGCAGCACAACTTAGGTGGCTCCAAACAGGTTGGATCAGATGGTCGAGGCGATATTTAGAAAGATAATAGACAGCAGATAACAGTTCTAACAATAATATATTTATAGCTCCACTTGGCATTCCGGTATAGCCTATAAACATTATCACTGTGCAGCATTTTCTCAGAAACCCATTTTTACTTTTATGTTAGTATATTTGTACAATTTTTATTTCAGCTGACTGACAAATAAAGGGATATGGTCTTGTCATCAGAAATGACTCTTTGCCTTTATATATTTTGAGCATTGTCCCTTTTGAAATTCAACTTGTCTAAATATGCATGACCACCATAAACATACCATCGTAACCATACATAGTTCATCCTTTGGTGGAGAATATTATAATACTTTTTTTTACTTCTGTTGTAGGTTGGAGACATTTAAAGAGACAGTTTAACAAAGATTTATCTGGACAGGAAAACAAAATCTTTTACCTCTGGGACAATGACTTCATCTAAACTTCTTCAGTTCAGCTCTGGCTGTTAATTGATGCTCACTATTAAAACAAAATCATTAAATGCCCTAGCTTTTCTGCGTGAGCAAGTTACTGTGTCTGCTCTGTGTGGGGTTATTTTTCTGTATGCACTTTCAATAAAATTTGATTACAAAGAACACATAAAACTTGTCATTAATGATCCAGTGGCATGTAAACAAATCAAAACAATTACAGAAGTTGTCGTAAAAATCTGTTCCAGTTCACCCATCCCAAGTTTATACACTGGTACTTTCCTATTATTCATTTAGAGGCAAGGCACATGCAAACCATTAACTGTTTTTCTCACATTGTTATGGATTCCTCATAATGCTGCCTTAACACATTTTTAACTACTCAGGTACCTGTCAGAGGCAGGTACAGCCCACCCAGGATTTGGTTACACATGGTGTTTGTGATCCTATGGGTCCTTGTTATTACTGTCCATTCCTTATCTGGTGACAGATTGCTGTAAAACATGATGACATCTCCCTTCTCCCTGAGTCAAGCCCAATTTTTCCTAATTGTTTTTAATGAGATTTTTTGTCATGGTAAATTGTAGTTTGAGGAGTATCTTTCTTGCATTCCCTCATATTGTATGGGGTATCCATGTGGCCTAATGGATAGCACAATGAATTGGGACTTACATTGGGTTCTATTCCTGGCTCTGTCAAAGGTCTGCTGGGGGACCTTGGGCAAGTCACTTCATCCCTCTGTGCCTCAGTTTCTTATCTGTGAAATGGGGATAATGATACTGATGTCCTTTGTAAAGCACTTGGAGATCTGTGGATAAAAAGTGCTATATAAGAGCTAATTTTTATTATATTTCGGACACGGGAGTAGAGTTTGTTGCATTCTGCCCTTGGTCACATTGTTAGCATGTCATATTAGCAACAAGAAGAAAGTCAAGGAAAGTGTGGGCCCCTTACTGAATGAGGAAGGCAACCTAATGACAGAGGATGTGGAAAGCTAATGTACTCAATGCTTTTTTTGCCTCTGTCTTCATGAACAAGATCAGCTCCCAGACTGCTGCACTGGGCAGCACAGCATGGGGAGGAGGTGACCAGCCCTCTGTGGAGAAAGAAGTAGTTCAGGACTATTTAGAAAAGCTGGACAAGCACAAGTCCATGGGGCTGGATGCACTGCATCCGAGGGTGCTAAAGGAGCTGGCAGATGTGATTGCAGAGCCATTGGCTATTATCTTTGAAAACTCATGGCGATCGAGGGAGGTCCCAGATGACTGGAAAAAGGCTAATGTAGCCCATCTTTAAAAAGGGGAAGGAGGAGGATCCGGGGAACTACAGCCAGTCAGCCTCACCTCAGTCCCTGGAAAAATCATGGAGCAGGTCCTCAAGGAATTAGTTCTGAAGCACTTAGAGGAGAGGAAAGTGATCAGGAACTGTCAGCATGGATTCACCAAGGGCAAGTCATGCCTGACTAACCTAATTGCCTTCTATGACAAGATAACTGGCTCTGTGGATGAGGGGAAAGCAGTGGACGTGTTATTCCTTTAGCAAAGCTTATGATACGGTCTCCCACAGTATTTTTGCCAGCAAGTTAAAGGAGTATGGGCTGGATGAATGGACTATAAGGTGGATAGAAAGCTGGCTAGATCATCAGGCTCAACGGGTAGTGATCAATGGCTCCATGTCTAGTTGGCAGCCGGTATCGAGCAGAGTGCCCCAAGGGTCGGTTCTGGGGCTGGTTTTGTTCAATATCTTCATTAATGATCTGGAGGATGGCGTGGACTGCACCCTCAGCAAGTTTTCAGATGACACTAAACTGGGAGGAGTGGTAGATACGCTGGAGAGTAGGGATAGGATACAGAGGGACCTAGACAAATTAGAGGATTGGGCCAAAAGAAATCTGATGAGGTTCAACAAGGACAAGTGCAGAGTCCTGCACTCAGGACGGAAGAATCCCATGCACTGCTTCAGACTAGGGACCAAATGGCTAGACAGCAGTTCTGCAGAAAAGGACCTAGAGGTTACAGTGGACAAGAAGCTAGATATGAGTCAACAGTGTGCCCTTGTTGCCAAGAAGGCTAACAGCATTTTGGGCTGTATAAATAGGTGCATTGTCAGCAGATCGAGGGACATGATCATTCCTCACTATTTGACATTGGTGAGGCCTCATCTGGAGTACTGTGTCCAGTTTTGGGCCCCACGCTACAATAAGGATGTGGAAAAATTGGAAAGAGTCCAGCGGAGGGCAACAAAATTGATTAGGGGGCTGGAGCACATGACTTATGAGGAGATGTTGAGGGAACTGGGATTGTTTAGTCTGCAGAAGAGAAGAATGAGGGGGGATTTGATAGCTGCTTTCAACTAGCTGAAAGGGGGTTCCAAAGAGGATGGATCTAGACTATTCTCAGGGGTAGCAGATGACAGAACAAGGAGTAGTGGTCTCAAGTTGCAATGGGGGAGGTTTAGGTTCGATATTAGGAAAAACTTTTTCACTAGGAGGGTGGTGAAGCACTGGAATGGGTTACCTAGAGCGGTGGTAGAATCTCCTTCCTTAGAGATTTTTAAGGTCAGGCTTGACAAAGCCTTGGCTGGGATGATTTAGTTGGGGATTGGTCCTGCTTTGAGCAGGGGGTTGGACTAGATGACCTCCTGAGGTCCCTTCCAACCTTGATATTCTATGATTCTGTGACTCCACAGATAGTCTTCTCTGGGTTTAGATGGGTGTCTCCTGACTTACATCTCTAGTTTCTGGTTACAAATCTGTATTTGGTGAGAGTCTGTCTTAGTTACGTACATTTCACTGTGATGAGGTAGGATGATAGTGGATTGGTCTGTAGCAGTCCAGCTTGATACTGTTTTTGAAATTTCTTTCCCTGTGACTTATATAATGGTGTTTTAAGTGCTGGTCTAGCATTTTGAACATCTTTCAGTTTTGGTTGTTGGGCTGTCCAGAAATTATGTAACACATTCGTGGTGATTTTCAAGACTCACTCATCCCTTGTAATGCTTTGTAAAACTGCAACAAATACAAAAAACGAAGGACTCAACCATCCCCTAAACATTCCATAATTTATGGACAGTCCCTGTTTACTTCACTTGTCCAGGGGCTAGAGTGGTTGAATCCTGGGATCCCTGCCTCGCTGTATATATCCTATGCCAGGGTGTCTTTGGAAGCCCAGCCTGCAGCTTTCTTCCTGAATTCCTGCACAGGGGCATTCTCCTCTAATAGTATCCAGGCTTTTAGAGCCCCTTAATGATGCTTCAGCCCCTTTACTCAGCATAAATGGGATTATAGGCTACTGTATGTTCCTCATTTTATGGATACACAACTTGAGACCCTGGAGCATTACAGATAATATTGAATTCAGTGGAAGCTGTGCTTTGAATATGTAAAATGCTATAAAATGCTGAGTGCTCAGAAAAATCAGGATCCAGACATCTCAGATTAAGTGGACACTTTGGCCTTAACCTCCCTGGGCCAGATCCACAAAGGTACTTAGGCATTGTTCTGCTCAGCAGCATAATACTTAACCCCTAGGCACTCTGTCATCTACTGGAATTCTCACCCCTGAGCTAGGCACTCTTCGGTCCACATACAGTGCATGGGAGCAGTAGGTACCTAAGGAAGGGATCTTCAGAAGCCAGCAAACTGAGTGGGGAGCTGCCTACACTAGCGAGGAGTGAAATGCAGAGGAAAGGGGCAGGGCTTAGACCTCAAAGGTATTTAGATGCCAAATCCCATTGATTTGGGCTTTCAGCACCTGAGTGATGGGACAGATGGAGGCACCTCCTTCTGCTTGGGATTTTCATCTTGTGAATGGTCTCCTGGAGTTAGTTGTCTAGGACAGATCTGCCATTTAAGTAACCTGTGCCTGACTAGCTGAAATACAGACAAGAGAGCTAGCCTCAATCCAGTATAGCCAGTAGATTAGCCCACGTGGGCTGTGAAGACCTGAGTTTAAGTCTCTATTTTTTCTTGATTTGGAACAAGTATTTAAATCCTTATCCTAGGTGAGTACCCTAGCTGTAGAAGCACTCTCATTTTCTCTCTGACCCAAAGAACATTTAGTTATATATGCAAAGTAGAACAGCTTCACAACAATAGAGACTGACAGGGACCAACCATAGAATAACAAATAGTCTGCCGATTAGGGCACTCACTTGGGAAAGGGAACTGCGGTCTTCCACATCTCAGTGACTGCCCTAACCACTAGAATGTGTGAGACCCCCACACACACTCAAAAGATTCTTAGCCTGTTTGCTGCTAACTGTCTTCTGTGACTTCTCTATCAGGTCTTGGGTATGCTCTGAACATGCTTATGGGATCTGATCCTGCTAGAGAGAATTGCCGTGGCATGCCTAGTTTAAGGGTATGTCTACACTACAGGATTAATCCGAATTTATATAATTTGAATTTGGAAAACAGATTGTATAAAGTCGAATGTATGCAACCACACTAAGCACATTAATTCGGCGGTGTGCGTCCATGTACCAGGGCTAGCGTCGATTTCCGGAGCGTTGCACTGTGGGTAGCTATCCCATAGCTATCCCATAGTTCCCGCAGTCTCCTCCGCCCATTGGAATTCTGGGTTGAGATCCCAATGCCTGATGGAGCCAAAAACATTGTCGCGGGTGGTTCTGGGTATAACCTCCCACCTCTCCAGGAAGCAATGGCAGACAACCGTTTCGCGCCTTTTTCCTGGGTGAACAGTGCAGATGCCATACCACGGCAAGCATGGAGCCCGCTCAGCTTAAGACAGCAGTCATGAACATTGTAAATACCTCGCGCCTTATCGTGCAGTTTATGCTGAACAAGAACCTGGAAAACCAGGCGGCGAAGAGCAGGCTACGGCAGCGCGGAGGCGAGAGTGATGAGGATATGGACATGGAATTCTATCGAACCGCGGGACCCGGTGCTTTGGAGATCATGCTGTTAATGGGGCAGGTTATAGCCATGGAACACCGATTCTGGGCCTGGGAAACAAGCACAGACTGGTGGGACCGCATAGTGTTGCAGGTGTGGGACGATTCCCAGTGGCTGCGAAACTTTTGCATGCGTAAGGGCACTTTCTTGGAACTTTGTGACTTGCTTTCCCCTGCCCTGAAGCACCAGAATACCAAGATGAGAGCAGCCCTCACAGTTGAGAAGCGAGTGGCAATAGCCCTGTGGAAGCTTGCAACGC